CATTAACCTATAATATTCCATGACTGGCAATGCCATAAATTTGCAAATTACATATCTTTAAACCTAAACGTTGTGGTGATTTAAGAGGTATCACCCCTTTATAGTCATGGAACTTATGTAACACAGCTTTAAGAAATCAGCCATGCTTTGTTTTTGTTTTGAAAAGCATATTAGTCTAAGCAACACAAACAAAATGCAGAAGGTTATTTTGGATACCCATGGATTCTTATGGTGTCTAATTCTTATTGTGTCTTTGTCAACTTTAAACTTACCTATTCTAGACCCTGTACAGGACACATCTGAGATGGGGACAGTCACTGACCTTGTACCACCCAGAGGAGTATGTGTCACCACTCGTAGGTTATTTCCCTGAAGGACCAGACGATTTACACTCCTGTGTAATATGATTAAAATGGATAGCATGAATGAAATTTCTGAAGACGACATCCTGAGTAAAAGCCTAAATTAGCCTTTCACATTTATCCAATCAGTTCTGATCTGCTTGATCAGACATAGCCCATAATAATTGAGGGATTTACTATCAATTGTAAATCCAGTTGGCCAATATAAGTGATGCCAAAACTTGTATGTGATGCCAAAATAAATATGTAAAGGGGGAGCCAAAATGTTTCTGGCCCGTTGAAGTCTTTGAGCTAAATGGAGGGAGCCAGGCCCCCTCGGCACCTCTAAATTTACCCCAAAAAGGCCTCATTCTTGCAACTGTTGGAAATCATAAATTGGTTATGAGCCAAGAATTGGCAGATCTTTTAAGTGCTTCCAGAAGAAGTTGATTTGAAATGTCCTGAAAATGAACTAATAATAAGCTACACATACCTGAGACTATAAATAAATCCTGATGTAGTGAAAACCAGCCCGACACCTACAGCAAAAGAAGCCAGCATAACAGGACTGTCCTGTGGATTAAGATTTCAATACATCACTCTCTGCAAAATGATTTCTTTACCATACATCTTAGAAAATTTGATTTACAAGAAATAGCAAATTGACACCTAAAGAAAACCAATCTTTCCATTGCATATAACTCCAGGTCAATCATTGTCCTTTTCTGGCACTGACCATTACATGAGGTTTCCCTTAGGGACTTGAATCATATTTCCTGGCTACGTATCACTTTCATAGTCAGGGAGGTGAATGGTAAATGGACGACTCTGTGAGAAGGCAAGACTAAAGTCTTTCTTTGTGAGCCAAAGACAATTTTTTTACTTTTTAAACTGCGAGATCCAGACTTCAAAGTGTTTTAAATTGAGTGCATGGCTTTCAGACTGCAAGACCTTCAGACATTATTATAGGAAATAACAAACAAATTGGGACTTTGCTGAGACTTTGATGGCCTTGCAAAAAAACGCGAGACTTCAAGACAGCTTTGTGAAGAGTTTGAGACTGCGAGACACATATTTTACCACTAAAAAAAGGAGACAGGGATTCCCATGAAATTTCACAAACATTTTGCAAGACTCGTGCTTTTGGATGGATCATATGCCAACCCTCATAGTGTTGAAAACTGAAAAGAAGAATCCCCATATCCGTGCCATCAATCATTGTTTTCTCTCATATTTTCACTTCACATTCAATATCATCAGGAGAAATTATTGAGTCTGCACACAGACTATACCTGAGCAGCCCCTCCCAACCTGTCCATCCAAAATGTTTTGACTTCCATGATCACTTCTCACCACTGACAGAGAGCATAGTCAATTGTCATGCAGATGAATGTCATGCTAATTTATACTGACCATTACAAATCTGGCAATTTTCCATGAAACACCAGGGTTCGATGATGATGATGACACATCAAGAATCTTCTTCTGGCTTCTCTCTTGTTTCAGACTAATCAGGATATAGGCCATCCATCCCCAAAATATAAACTGGCTGGCACAAGCCAGACCAACCAGGCGGAAGAATTTTTGACGATTGTAATAGTAAAGTGTCACATCTTTCCATGCAGGTTCTTTATTCTTGGCATATGACGAGAGGCTGAGCCTTGTTTTCTTTAAACACTGAAGATGAGAACCAAAAGGCATACTAAGACTACAGCCTAATACCAGTAGCAGGACCCAGGAAGGCCCCTCTTTGTGCAGCCACTCTCCCCCTCCACACTCACTACTCTACCCTCCATAATTTATCCTTCCCTTTCTCATTTCATTTTATATCTTCTTCCACCATGGCATAGTCTTAACTAATTTAAGGACCTTCACGTGGGGGGGGNCAGGAGGGGGAGAGGGGGGATGGTGCCAGGAGGGGGAAAGGGGGGATGGAACTGACTTAACGTGGTAAATTGCAATGGTAAATAGAGGTGACCACGGATTTTCTTAACACTGCACACGAACACCCCGTAAAAATACAAGCAGGAGTACCAAGTTATGCAAGGACTGAACGGAAAAAACGATGACCGCCGTTACTATAGGACGAAAAAGCACAAAGTGCTACACATGCAGGGAGAGTTTTGAAAGTTTTCACACTCGTAACGATCTACATCTTTCTTGTGATCAGAGAATGATTAAAACTGGAAACTTCATAAATCAATGCAAGACAAAACGTACCTTGAAACATCTAACGTGGCGCAAGAAAGAAAATGGTATCTTTCTTTGATGGACAGAAATTAAGAAGTGAAACATAATGGGGTAAAGATTGGCTAGCCGCCGGCCATCTTGTCCTTACTTAGCGCCAGCCTTCGCGCGACACTTCGTGGCCGAGCAGTTGCCAGTTTCCCAATCCAGCCAGTTTTTAGCTAACTCAGTAACAACTGAAGAACTGAGAAACATGTACCGTAATTTTCAATTTAAAGCCGGGGCGCTAATTTATCTTTGGAAGCTCGAGAAGGGGAAGGAGTAGCGCTTATTGGAGACGGGATACTTTCTAAAAAAACAAAACAAAACAAAACAAAACAAAACAAAAATGAGAATTGTACTACAATTCTATGATGAAAAACAACAGATAATGTAACTCAAGAACTGTAATAATGTCCAATATTGCGTTAAGATGAGAAAGCACACTTCCTATTTTATTTTACTGTAGATCAATGTTTTAAATGCCACTTTCGCAAAGCGGCACTTACTAGAAGGTTGCGCTTATTGGAATATGGGCACTTCTCAGTGGGGAGCGTTTATTCAAATGGGGTGCTTATTGGAAGGAGCGTGCAAAGTCGAGTCATTGCCGAATTTGTGATTAAAAACATTGAACCGCAGGCTTATCTTTAAGTGACCTCAAATTATTGGGACAGAGTATAATACACAGTTTTGGCTTCCTTGTATGCTTGTATGTGAGTCAAACTTCCAGGTTAAAGTGCGCAAAACAATAAGAAAAAAATCACTTTCTAAAAAAAACTAACTTCCTCTTGTCGCAAAATTGGAAACAAATCGTGAGCTTTGTCATTCGTATCCGTTAATAAATTTTATTAATGAAGTGTTTACTTGTTGAGTGGTAAGATTATCGCCCCCTTGGTACTTTACACCTTGGTAAACTGTAATTTTAGATTGCGTAACTTAGGGACATGTATTCAGATCAAATAGTCAGTCACAAAATTGGACTCAGGTGTAGAAAAACGAGTAAGACTGAAAAACACAGCAAAACTGTCTTGCTAAAAGCGAATGAAAACTTAATTTGATCGTTTCATGAAACACATTGTATTTTGCATTCGCCTGTTCGATCATGCAACAAAAAGTAATGCCAAGAACTGTCATTGAACTTTGATCTCAAAATCAGAATGTATTCAAAACGTTTTTTATTACTCCGAAGATTTAATAAGGAGAGGATTTTATAGCCAAAATTATATCAAATTTTTTGTAAAAACAAATCGAGACCCTTGGCGCGAGGCCGACAAGATTCATTTAATGATAAACAAAGACATGTCACTTCAAACATCAAATATTTCACCGACAATCAAAGAAAAGAGATTTCAATTCACCCTTCTATAAACTGCTCATGGAAAAAAGATTGACGCGGCGCCACTATAGACGTGAAATTTTCCGAAAAACTTGGAGAAACACGTCACATTTGTGATCTAGAGCCTTCTAACTCGTTTTAAATGATCTCTCCATTAATTACAAGTTTTCCCCACGACAATTTATTTCCTTCCAGAAAATTTTCCAAATTGCCTTTTTCATTTTGCAGTCAACTCGATGACACTTTTTTTAATAAAACTAGATGCAATAGAACCCCCGGATCAAAAATGTTCGGAATTCCCGGCGAATTTCACTTTAATCTAGAGAAATATAGCCTGTAAACTTGATATGTTGTACAGACACACATCAAATCAAACATGAGGCATTTGAAAAAGATTGATTCAACGGTGGCGCAATCAAATCAAGCACTTTTTTTTTAATAATTGTTAGCGCTGTACCTCACTCGAAGAGCTTTGCTTAATAACAAGAGCAGCAAACAAACTAGCGACCACTTGTGTCATACAGTTAATTGTTTGTGATAACAACCCTGGAGTCTTAAACCACCATGAAAGTGGCTTATGTTTGCAATAACAGTCACTGATGAAAGTTTACATGAGACAATTTCTATAGCCAAACTTAATTGCGTCCGGTTGTGGGAGGGAAAAACTCGCAATAAAAGCGAGATACCCATCAAAAACTACCGCCAACTTCTCATTTAGCGCCTGATCAGTCGACATCGATCTGAAAAAAATTTTTTTGCCCTCGAGGAAATCGCTGCTTTCACTTCTTAACGTAAAAACTCTAATTTTGCAACCAAAATATTGTGTACTTAGATCCGTGAAAATGTTACTTTTATCGGTTTAACTTTGCCGAGAAGCTTGTTTCCGGTAAGAGATGTACTTTTTCATCCACGTTGTTTATTGATTTCTCTTCTTCGGAATTCACCTGTTTTCGGTGTCAGAGAAGGGAAAGAAAAGTAAGTTTATCCGGTGAATGGAAAAACAGTTGTTTCCTTCACATAAGTGGAGGATTTGTCAAACAAAGGAAGCAATAGGGGAGATACACCTTTTTGTCCTTTGAGGATTCTAAACTACACCATCAGTAGTTCATTTAAAGTTAGAAGGCTACCAAACGGCATTTGGCAAGGATTTTATCGTGGTATAATTGCAATTACAGGGCTGATTCGATTTCGCACTGATTCAGACTAATATAGATGGGCTCTGGCCCGGAGTTGTTAGAAATCGAGAGCATGAATTTGAACAACACTGTTAGCACAACAAGTTTCAATACCGGCGGTTCAACTGGTTCGCTGCGCAGTTTCTACCTCTTCACAGCAAGTGTGCTAATACTCATCATTATCGTCACCATCATTGGAAATATATTGGTGTGCGTGGCTATCCTTGTCAACAGCCAACTTCGATCATCTCCCACGATGTTATTCATTTTTTCCTTGGCCGTCAGTGATTTATTGACTGCTTCTCTATCGATGCCTTTTGATGTGGATCAACAGCTAACAGACTCCAGATGGACCCATAGCGAGGGCCTTTGTCGGGCATGGACAACTGCGTACCTTATCACCGTGCCCTCGTCCATTTGGAACCTCCTTGTGGTGAGCGTGGACCGGTATAAGAGCCTAAAGGATCCCTTGAGTCGTTACCGACAGAGCCCCTTTATGACACGAAAGCGAGCGGCCCTTGTTATAGTGCTCCTTTGGGTTTACTCAGTGGTCTTCGCCCTGATTCCCGTCATGGGCTGGAAATTCAGGCCAATGAGCGTCGAACACAACGCTTGTCATTTCAACATAACAATGGATTACTCCGTTCTCAGCTCTTTCCTTAACTTTATTTTTCCACTACTGGTAATGTGCTTTCTTTATTTTAAAATCTTCATGATAGCGCGAAACATCAACAGTAGGAAGTTCTCTCAGAGAAACGGCAGAAAAACCCCGGAGTTGTTGCCTTCGGAGCCCACGTCTTCCGAAGACGTTACGAAAATCACACGACGTGCCAAGAGATCGCAGAAGAGGTTCAAACGAAACATGAAAGCCGCCAAAAACATTTTAATCATTGTTTCCGCTTTCTTTTTCTGTTGGATGCCTCACACGGTTCTAAGTTTGGTCGCCATTTTTCACGGGGAAGCGTTATCAAGTAAGATTCCCACAGAACTGTTTTCAACGTTCTTGCTTCTGGGTTACCTCAATTCTGCTCTCAACCCGCCATTGTACACCTTCCACAACAAGCGATTTAAAGAAACATACGTGAAATTTTTTGGACTGGAGCGCAAGAAGACTCCACCGAACCGTTACTCGAACGTAACGGCTTTGAGTAACATTGACGGTGGATCAAATCACTCCCGCGGGTCAACAACGAGACAGACAAACGGTTATCTGCATGTTGAAGAACCAGTCGATATCGAAGAAAATAATGTGTAGATTCCAAAAACTAACTTCAGTTTATTCTGTTATTGGCAGCTCTCATTCAACGTAACTTCATAATTTGTGGAGTATCTCATATTGCAAAATCTCGGAGAGCATGTCTTTCAGTGAATCTCGGAACGGCCGAGGGCAAAGCGCAAAAGATTATATCAGAAACCTCTTGGTAGTCAGCCTAAACTGATTACCACGAAGATCAGTTAAATCGAGTGTTTTTCCGGCATGGACAATTTACTCTTTCCGAAATGAGTCGCTTTTTTTACATGAGTGACTAGACATTAAAACAGAGGAATCGGTACGCCATTAATTGCTGACAATTTCATATTAGACCCTGACGCAGAGATGAGACTAAGGACATGCTCCCGACATGGAGTGTAACTTACAAACCGTCTCGAAGTACATTTGCGGCCGGTTGTTCAGAAACAAGAATGTCGCATGAAAAATTCAATTAGGATACTTTCCATGAAACAGTGTATTTCCAAAAAGAACCGCGGTTCCGCATAAAAAAACAATTGTTCTTTTTCAAATCCTCTCAAGCCTGCAGGCATGCACGGAACCAATTCTCTCCACTTTTATTGGCACATACTCAAATTGGAAATCGATAAGACTAACAAGCTTGTTTCAGTCTGTCTGAAAGGCAGAAAAAAAAAAGAGCTCTGTCGACATATAGATATTTCCTTCCTCGCACTTGCCTCAGGGTTATTTTCTTTGTATGAAGTTACACAGGCTTCTTTCAGAAATCGTTCTTGAATCGATAAGATATTGCCTTGAAAACTAGCCGTCTGTAATAAAGATCGCTATTGATAGAGAATTTCCTGATAACAGTACTCTGAAGCTAAATAGACAGTGCTATTGAATTCCTTTTTCGATGTCTCTTAATCTTTTTAAGACGTCACCTTTTTGGAAGAAAATGGTTGTCGAAACTGAGTTGTTTCTGACATTCCCTTTGATAAAGGGACGTTTGTTTTTACTTCAATTTAAAATCGGTTTCTTGTACAGCAGTCGATCTCCGGATTGGGCGGTTCTACTCATCTTGTTCATGTTGTTGTAAAAGTCGTTCAACGAATGTGTTATGATAACACAGAGCTAGCTTTTTCATAATCACACCGATTTCATGGGCAACCTTTATAGCCAGGTAATACATAAAAGGCAAAAAAAAAACATTCGCTGTAATATATGTATAGGAATAAAATAATCTTGCTCTCAAATCCTTTACCGTAAACAGGTGAACATAGAAGTCTAGATAACACACTCGACTTCTGTGCATGAAAGCAAACATACAAGGATATAGGACCCCACCCAGTTAGATTACCTCTTAGCATTTATTGTGTTAAAACGTAATACGGATGTATTTAACATTTCTACTTTGGATTATATACACCAAGCTTATGTTATGCCTTAAGCTGATAATACTTTCACTTTGAGAAGTTGTAATAATAGCGAAGTCGAGCTTGTATTTTATTAAGAGGCTCTATATTTTGCGGATTTCCTCCGCAATTCAGCGGAAGTACTTAAGATTCTGCGTTTAATATCGCACACGAAGTACTTAAGCTCTTGCGGACATGCAAATGCAGTCGCGATAGAAATTTGCTTCCTTTTAACTTGTAAATCCTGTATTTAACAAAGACGTATTGGGAAATAGTGCCTCAAAGTTATATTTATAGCTACCAGTTTTTCTTATTTTAAAATTGTTTACCAGCTAATTACAACTTTGTAAATATCTAATAATTTCAATTTCTATGGCTAGCTTGAATTATATTAGGCTTTAATGTAATTTTTAAACAATGGGTTTATCTAAAATGTCTCTTACTCAGCCAATTTTTGGTACATTTTTTGTAGCCAGTTTCACTGTATTGCTCAAGCAGCAACCAGATGCAATAGCCTTTTCAAGGTTAATTTTTTCTAATTAATCGAATATGTACGTGAGGCAATTTGTAGTTTCTGCCCGCAATTGTTTCGCCTCCACGATGGATTATACTTGTAATGCAAACGAGAATAAGGGCTATTTCAGCACCATTAGGGCTTGCCATCGCTAGAATTTCTAAGAACCGTGATAAAATAAACGAAGTTTTGTGCCGTCTTGATCCCCGGTCAAACGATCGCAACATTTGAACGCAACAGATTGCGCGCGCAAAATGTTGCGCGCGTTTGGCCGCCCTATTGCGATGTGTTGCGATATGTTGGGTGATGATGGTTCAAATTTCATTATTTGTCAAATTTGAGCCAACAAAACCCAACACGTTCCGCCCAACAATGTTGCCATGTGTTCGGCTGAAATTTTGCGATCGTTTGACTGGGGCTTCAAGTTTGAAAAATGGTCAAATTTGCGCCAACAACGCCCAGCATATTACGCCCAACAATGTTGCCATGTGTTCGGCTGAAATTTTGCGATCGTTTGGCCGGGGCTTCAAGTTTGAAAAACGGTCAAACTTGCTCCAACAACACCCAACATGTCACAACACGTCGCAACAAGTTAGCCAAACGCGTGCTATATGTTGCGCCCAACAATGTATACACTATATGTTGCGTTGAAATATTGCGATCGTTTGGCCGGAGCTTATAAACATATGGTTTCGTCATTAGTTTGAAATGTCCTATGAAAGTGGACAGCTAGTGGATGCCTTAATTCAAATACGCTAACGTCATTTACATCCATGCGCATTCGAAAATGACAGTTGTATTGGGTATCGGTGTTTTCGAGCAATTTGGTGTGGATGGCGAAAACGCCACAGAAACGGCGGTGTGGATACGAAGCGTTTGGTGGTTTTTGGACTGAAAAAGCATCATTTTTAAAACGTATTAGTGTGGACTGGGCCTCCAGTTCTCCATTTTTACTGGAGTAAAATCTCGTCTAGAGTGAATTTATATATTGAAGCTTACATCGTTTCACATCTTCCCGGCGCATAAAAAATTTCTTTACCTCTAACAGCTGACATCCTTATCTGAGTAAGACAACTGCTGCAATTCTAAATTTAGTCCGAAGATAAAAATCAAAAAGTGATTCAGACTTGTGCTATGTTCCCAGTGATTCGTCCTCGTACATCTGGCCGCAAAGTTTCCCGTCAAGGCTTATAATCGACGAGCTGAAAAATACTCGTGATATGTTGTTATATATCACATGCATTTTATAATAAAGTTTCCTTATAGGCCATTTCGAAATTGCCTAGGGAACTGGTGCTAGTTTCAAATTTTAACCAATCGATAAACTGACACCAACACATAAAAGATCACGTTAAGAGTAGTCATGTGACCAAGTTTGATGCTTTTAGAATGAACAGAGACAAAGTTATAGACCTTGAAACATGGTTCAAATTCCATACAAATGTCTCTAATGTTGAGATAGCGTCCCACAAAACCATATAAACTCTTAAAGTTTTTTTTTATCAGTTTTGTGACAACTGTAAAATCGATCCCATCATTTACCTATCATTTGAAAGAAGCTGAGATGAAAATATGGTTTGGGGGAACAATGTCTTGAATGGATTCTTTATCAAAAGAAGCCTCGACTGTGCTCTGTTCTGTTGTAAAGAACTTAGGAAGCGATAGAGCACTCAAGAAGTAGGGAGAAACACTCGACTGCGTCCCGTGTTTCCCCCTACTCTTCTTTCGTTCTCTGCCGCTTCCTGAGCCAGCTTTACAACAGAACAGAGCACAGTCGAGGCTTCTTTATTTGTTAAATATAAAATAACTGGTACTGAGATACTATACGCGCGCTCTCATTGGTCGATAGGTGTGTTTACTGTGTTTAGATCAGAGTATGTAAACACGGTTGTGACGTTTTAGATTCTCGCGTATTTTTGAGAAATATTTTATAAGAGCTAGACCTTGTTTACATAGCCTCATCTAAACTCTCGAGGGATGGGAAAATTCTGGACAGTTTTGCAAACCCTCGTCTCTGTTTCGGGTTGCATAACTGTCTCGAATTCTCCCAACCACCCTCGTGTTTAAACGAGGCTATGTAACCACGGAAAAAGTGCTCTAGTGCTAATGAATGTTTCTCTGAACTTACTTATATATTTGACTCTAATATTGGCTCAGTTTTACTTCATTGCCGAGACGTTTCCTTTCATTTTACCTCATTGCTCGAGTGATGTTCCACCAATCTAGATCATTATAAGTGCATTCTATTCGACCAAAAACCCACAGCTTACAACATGGGGGCAAATGGCAAGTTTCTGGAAAACCCGAAAATTGTGAAATTTCCGAGAATCGAACCATTCGACAGAAAGTTCCGGAAATTTTGAGAAGAAAATCAAATGGAACAAAAATTCCCGCTCAAAAATGTTCGAATTTTTGGTTATAGCTCGCGAGGCTGTCCTCTTTTCCGAAAGTTGTGGAAAAGGCTGTTCCATTCGACACTGGAAAATTCCAGAAATACAAGCCGAACGTTTTGGCCGAATGGAAGGTGCCCTATATATACTTTTGAGCTTTTCGCATGTATTATGCTAAAATATTTACACAAAGCTCTTTCGACAAATACTATTCAAGAACCAGGCAATGCTGAATTTATTTTCCTCCTAGTATGTATTCATTAATACTCAATAATTTCGCTTTAGTGTATCTGTAGTCTCTCGTCGTAACTGTTGTTAATTATTATTTATAATATCGTTAGTTTATTAGTTGTCTTTAGTCATCGTTGTCAATTCTAGTCTCTTTAGTTCTCTTGTTACCTTCAGTTGTGTTTAGTTGTACCTAGTTGTATATTAATAACTCGTCCAAACATGACCCGCCTAGATTAGCTCAGCTATCCGCGGGCATGTTACAATTGTAATTTTAATTTGATAACAAATAAAATCTATGTATGTAAAATGTATGTATGCAATATCGTTGATGATTTTGAAATTATACTCCGTAATCATGTAAATTTTCAATCACTGGTTCGTACAAAAGTCCTCGTCTTTCCTAAGTAATGAAACTCTCCCATAAGGAAGGTTTCTAAGGCCCCGTCACACTACTCTGGAGGAATTTGAAAACGGAGGATTCACTCTGACAACGTTTGAAATGTTTTCTGTCGACGATACGCCGTCGAAATTTGAAAACGCGACCGGTCATTTTGGATTTGTGTTTGAGGAAAACCCAGTTAGGGAAATCACATGATTATAGTAACGTCATCATTTTCGAAAAGCTCCGTTTTCGAAATGTTTTCCGTCTACACTAAAACGCAAAGCCGGGCGGTTTTCAAATTCCTCCGGATTGAAGAGCGTTTTCGAAAAGCTTCGTTTTGGTGATGGTTTAGTGTGGAAGGTAGGCCTAACCGTAGAAAAAAACTACTTTTTCAAATTCCTCCCGCGAAGTGTGGTCGACGGGACCTAAAAGAACATTGTATAGAACATGCGGCAAGATCAGTTTCGATAAACTCAGCAGCTTTGTTTTCGCATGTACAAATCGAACGTGACAGGGAAGGAGCAAAGATCGAGATGGACCGTTTAATTATTATTAATTTATCGACTAAAACTCTCTCAACTAATCCGTTTCATCTATCTGTCACAATCCAGATAAAACAGTAGCCTAGATTGGTGCAAACCTGTAAATTCAACATTCTAGAACTCACGTCTTAATATTAAAGACAACTATCATTGGCCACTTCCAGCGACAGTTAAAAAATATCATGTTTCCTCGCGGCTATTTTTGTTAATCGTGTCTTTCAGACTTGTGGTGAAATTAATGATCACTGAAAAACCAGCCTAATTGAAGCCTTAAAATTCGCGATAATTCAGAAGGGCAAAAGCATACAATTTCTCTGACTACAATTCTCACAAGAAAAGTATAATTTGTTCAGTTCAGTGCATTATTTTAATAATCAGTTAGCATTCTAAGGCCCTGTTCACATTACGTCGGAGAAATTTGAAAACGCAACAATCACGGATCATTTTGGATTTCTTTTTGAGGAAAACTCGGATAGAGAAATCACGCTGTTTTCAAAATGTTTTCTGTTCACACTTGAACGCAAAGCGGGAATTTTCAAATTCCTCTGGTTTTAAGAGCGTTTTCGAAAAGCTCCGTTTTCGTGACGGATCAGTGTGGACGATAGGCCCAATCGTAGAAATAAAGCTGTGTTGTTTTCAAATTTCTCCGGTGCAGTGTTGACGGGGCCTAATTATTGATAAACCTTACCTTTTTATCGTTTAGAAAGCCTATCAGTTGTCTTGATTAAATCTTGACACCTTTGCGAGAGGCAGAAATTTTCCAAGTTTACTAAATTCTTCAGTTACTAGTCGAAAACAATTTGCTCAAAACTGCGTTCAACAGATGCCCTGAAAAAGTGAGGTTTATAACCATTGTTTACATTTTTCCGCCAGTAAAATACGATTTCACACTGACAAGGCACCACGCTAGATACGGAGTGACTTCAAACATTTATGGAGCTTGTTAAATTTAATAAGTCGTGAAAATTGTGGCTTTTTGGGTGTAGTATTCACGGAGAAATGGTTTTTCAAAAACTGCAAAATTTCTGGGTGGCAAAAGTGCTAATGAGCTCATACATTCTTTGTAATATCTTGATTTTTTAAACCCGCGTTTGACAAAAGGTATTCACTACATCGGGTTAAGGGTTCAAATTCCTTGGGACAGTTAATTGTGCTATGCCTTTTCAATATTCAGAACTGATATTTTTGTACCTTGTTTAGAAAATGATACGCTTATATATGCTAATGAGGCAAATATTATAAACAGACTCTCCTATACGTGATGGATAGAACTCTGCTTGTGGTTAATTGCTTTTTTTTTTTAAGAAATTAATGGCACGGAAAATAAAGCAGGGGAAATCTTTTTAGTGCATTTCAATCTTCCGCCTTAAATATCTTAAACTAAATGACAAATGCTAGTGAAGGGGTTTTTCCTGCTTAAATGAGAATACAATCTCACCAAGACTAGACCGAACTAGAAACATTAATTTAAAATTCAAATTTGAATTCGCGAACTTTCAGTCTTAACACTTGGGTTGTAGCACAGTGGGACTTGTAATCTTTTATTTACCTCTCCGTCCTCCCCTCCCCTACTACAACTTACCTGTCACCATACATTTTGCAGTCTACACTAATTGGTTTTGTTGGAGCATGCAAAAGTGTCAATTTGACGGAGGCAATCAATCGATTCCTAGGTTCACCTGTCCTGTTTCTTTGACAAATACTGACATCGCTTTCTTTGACAAAATTAGGTTTCAATCGTTAGACTGGGGTTAAACGTCACATGTAGTCTTTCGCTTTGGTTGTAAAATTGTTTGACGCTGGTTATCTTAACTTTTGAAGGTTGAAATGTTACCCCGTTTCAAAAACGACTCGTTAAAATATTCTACTCTATAGATTTCGATCACAAGTTGTTTGCATACATTAGTTTTGTAGTGAATGAATCATTGTTGAATAAAATTGACTATGAAAAGCCACATCTTAAAACAGTTTTTTTCTCATTTAAGCAAAGATTCATTCAAACAGCTAATAAATAAAAACTATTAACTTAAAATATAAAGCAAATGAAAGAGAACGATTTGTAAGTTACGATCCCACAGGGACTGCAAGTAATCCTATTCTCCCATCGGAAATAAGGCTAAACGAAAACTTGCCAAATGGGTGTTTTAATTTGATTAAGCCCGAAGCATAACAATCAGTTTTCTGTAAATGTTGCGCCACAGAATTGACTTTCTTAAAACATCAATACGCAGGTGAGGGACTAAACTAGGGGATGATGTATTGATATAGCACCAACTTCTCTTTGCTATCTTTAAGGAAATGTGTTGAAATCAGCAGGGAGAATTGACGATTCGCGTTTGCGACTTTATGAATTTAAAAGAATCCTTTAAGAGCCTTCTATACTCTACAAAAGAGAAAGAAGAGTTGTTCAGGAAATGTAGTGGAACATGAGTTTCTCTTAAAAATACATTTTCAAAGCGACCAAAGTAATTAGTCAGAACTGTCAAAACTTAGCTGCTGGGAAAAACTACGACATGTCGAAAAAGTTTGCACACAATTCATCATTATTTAGAGATCAAAGATGGATGAAAGATTAATTTTATCGACAACATCAACCCTACAGGCTTTCAATTTGCACAGCAGCCCTAATTGAATAATTCTGCCTTTTCAATTGTATTTTGAAAACCTGCTCTGCGGCAAAATTTAAAATTAAAAAAAGAGTATTATTGTTCAAAAAGTGACTGAAATTAAAATCGCCTCGGGATGCGTTTTTCCGACGTTTTGTGCACAAAGCGTGACTCCCTTACTTCGCAACGTTAATAGAATCGAAAAGTGGTTTCTTAATTAACAGGCCAAGAAAGGTCTTGTATTTAGCAATTGTAATTTACTGAAACTACAAAGGCAAATACATCTACATAACTGCAAAAAGAAAACTGCAAAGCGGTTTTAATAGTTTTAGCTTGAACAACTTTGAAGCGCGCGGAGGAGATAAGTGGTTTGCTCGCCTCCGTTGAGAAAGCCAGACAAATGACTGGATTACGCGTGAATGCCTCTCGCCTCAAGGTAAAGGGTGATCAAGTCATTCTTTCGCCTTTGTTGGCGATGCCTTAAGTTACTGTCACGGAGTTTGATAATTTTCGCTGGTCAATTGCCAGATGAAAAGGTTTTCTTTCAGTATTGGACTGACAGGTACCTGTAATAGCGATCGGTGATTCGTCCGCCAGTGTTTATCTACACTAAACAATCACCGGAACAACTTACTGACCAACAATAGTAAATTGATCATTATCAATTCCTTCCTCTCGCCAGATCATATAGATTCGAGCTGCATCAGTAAATTGGGAAGTTAAAGCTGACAAGCCCAGGTATTTTATGGTCAGAAAGGTATGGAACTTCCCAAACCACACGAATGCAGACGCATGGAGAGAAACGCTTTCAGAGATTAACTTTCTGCCTGTCTTTATCACAGAGTCGGACAGTGGCAAAGAAGCTACACTTTTACAATTTTTGGACAATTCAACGACGAATCTTCAAATATCTGCAGGGAGGAACTTAAAAAGCCCAAAAGATAAGTATCAAAAACCAAGACTGTCAAAGGGAACTTAAAGTTTGCTGCATACAAAACTGAAGAATCGTTAGTATTTATGCCGTAAGGCTTTTCTCTTGTTGTTTCTACGAGTTGGAACAAGATTCTACCTTTTGTGTTGAGCTTTTATTCCAGATTTGACATAATAAGTAACTGAAGCATTTTACGAGTTGTCGGAATACTACGAACGCGTGTTTGGTTGGCTTGCCTTGGGCATTCACAACTTTAAAGCAAACAAAAACGCCACTCACTCCACCATACCAAACGCTCAGTTCGGAATCTTTGCAAGCCTTCGTTAATTTCCGCTCCACCGACGATTCGCGATGAATTTCTCCGAGTCGAATGTTTCGGCAACATCAGATATGACGTCCCTAAGTTCAGGCTTGAAGTACATCAGTGCGTCAGTATATGTTGTCATAATTATCATGGCACTAATTGGAAATCTTTTAGCCTGCTTCGCATTTATTGTAAGTGGAATCGTTCGCATGCCACCCACCAACCACTTTATCTTTTCATTGGCTCTTAGCGACTTGCTAACCGCTTGCTTCTCGATGCCTTTCGACCTGGAGCAACTTTTAACCAATCAAACTTGGACCCACGGCGAAGCGCTCTGTCAGGTGTGGACATCAACGTATCTCATCACCGTGCCCACATCTATTTGGAGCCTGTTGGCCGTCAGCGTTGACCGTTATAAGAGCCTCAAGGATCCACTAAATCGGTTTCGTCAAACTCCGTTTATGACCCGTAGGCGAGCAGCCCTGGTAATTTTTTCTCTGTGGATCTATTCGGGGTTATTTGCTCTTATGCCTGTCATGGGTTGGAAGCGGTTGCCTCGCAGCGTGGAGAACAATCGTTGCCAGTTCAACATAACTGCAGAGTACTCTTTGCTAAGCTCGACCGTGAACTTCGTCTTGCCCACGTTGTTCATGTGTGTACTCTATTGGAGAATCTACAAAATTGCTAGCGGTATGACCAAAGGGGAAGCCTTGAATCCCGAGGAAAATTCTAATTCATCCAGCGTGGGACGAAATTCCGTCAGGAGCCTTAAAAAGAGAATCAAAACAACCAAGAACATCTTGTTTGTAGCGTGCGCTTTCTTTTTCTGTTGGATGCCGCACACCATCTTCAGCATGGTTACCACGGTCATGTACATGACTGAGTGCATGTCGTGTTTATACGCCACCCCCGGAGAGCTTAACATTATATTCCTGATGTTAGGATACTTAAGCTCGGCTTTGAACCCGTATTTGTATGCGCTGAGGAACAAGAAGTTTAGAAACGCCTTTTCGAGTGTTGTTCCCTGCTTAAGGCGCAAGTTTGTCCAGCGGTATCCTTCTTCTCGTACATCCGGGAATCGACAATCCAGTAGCTTGCTGCGTAATCAAAGTAGACAGAGCACATCCACACGAACTACAACGTTATAAACTGGGCACCCTGTGCTGACTGTGTTGTTTAACGATTATTGGCAAATTTTTCAAAAACTTCAGCTTTCTTTATACAGAATAGACTGTTACTGAAATGCTATAATTTGTCGTATAAATGAAGATGCATGTACGATGGGTCGATATCATCATCAAAATGTCAGTTCCACTGGTTTTATTTGATAGAAGGAATGTCGACGTCATAATTGCATAAATGCATGAAGTAAATCTAAAACAATCTAGCTTGAAGATCAGTTACGCATGAAATATTCAAATATCTTTAATTGCACTTCAGGGAATAGTTGTAAAGAATAACCTCAAAATAACTTACACTTGAAATAGGAGCAATCTGCAAAAACTCCAAACCAAAAACAAGGAACGATACGAAGGCTGGAAACAAACTAAAATTGATCATTGTCTTCTAGAACTTGTCAAACTTGTTACACCATAAGAGAATAAGCGACCCGAACAACCCTTATGTCAATAACTTTTCAGTAAACCACTTGGCAGCCCCGTTAGTCTGAAGTCCAAATTCCAAACGAAAATATTTCGCTTGTATTTTCGACTACCGGGGGAGGGGGNGGGGGGGAGGTTTCAAAAGGAACTACCGAGCACTGTTGATCAAAATACGTTTTTCATATGTTGGTTTTTAATTAAACATTAAAACATCATAGTAAATCGAATTCATTTCATTTTAAACAAGAAGGGGGCTTGTGTCCGAGGGGGCTTATAATCGGAAGTAATATTCTCTTTACTGGTAGATAAGCCTATAACCGGAGGGGATGATAAGAGGGAGGGCTTATAAGCGGTACAATTAATGAAACACTTCGCGGTATATACGGTATGTGGACGGCACAGGAAGTCCTTATATCTCAAGTAAGTGGAAAATCGAGTGATTTCAATTTTCTTGATAACTTGATATCTCGTGGGGCATAGCAAAAGAGAACTGACAAAATTTTATAGGAAAACACTTATTAGTTCTGAATGCAACGCCTTAGATCTAGAGCATCTAATATTTGCTTTTTATTCAAAAGCATTACGTCAGCGAGTGAACTTTGACAAGTCGATAACCACAGAAAATGCATCACGTAATGGCATTAAATATGAATAATCATAATTATGTTCACAGAGCTACAGGCATTTTATTTATCGTGTGAGAACCCATAGTTACAAGCAACAAAACAAAACCTAATATCGGCCGAGTGCGCTTACTATATTTAACAACTTTTTCTATTCAGTTACGTTAAACCATTATCGCCAATATTGACTTAACGGAAATCTTTGTTTTATCGTATTCGTATTCACCGTTAGGACATGCAGTTTGTATTTTTAGTGTCACGGGAGCTATTAGACATGTCAAACTTTGGCAACAGACAGTTCAGCGATAGTGTCTTGATAGGAATGTTAACTGCTAAAGAACTTGTTAAATGGATGTTATATTGTTGATCGAAGGAATAAAACGTAAGCAATATTATACCTGCCGTAGATCTATTTTGCGTGGGAGAGTTCTAAACTGTCCGAAAAGGGAATCAGCTTTGCCCTTTTAAGTATTTGTAACTCTCCGTTAAGACTTAATTTGGAGAATTATCAAAATGAATGTGATGAAACAGAGTCGAATGTTGCTACCAGGGTAAGATCATTGTTTCAGTTAATTTGATATTGTTCTGGCAAAATCGAAGGCAATAAACGACTTCCGTTTACCGATCGAAGTGCGCGGCTTTTTAAAAGTATGAACACAAATTTATGACTTCTGGTATGAGCGTGAAAACATTTGGCGCAAAAAATTTATTGTTAAATCTCACAGCAATGTAGGCACTCTTAGAGAACACATAAGGAAATCGTTATCGGAAACTGTAAACTACTAAAAAATACTGTCCATTCTTGAGAACAAAGACTCACTCAAGTGTCAATCACGTATGTAGTTAAGAGTGCGTTCCTAACTCTAATGTACCATCCGAGTGTGATTGTCTTAGTAGGAGCTCGTTTAGGCGCCCTAGCACGAACGTAACAACAGAATGAGGACCGTGAACAACAACGCCTCAGAAGATGATGGCTCTAACATAACACGAGCAAATAATGGATTTCAGGGATTTTTGTTCTTTTCTCCGGCGTTTAACGTCTTCATACTAACTTCCCTCATTGCGATCATCGTGGCTGCCATCATAGGCAATACCCTGGTTTGTGTTGCAACGAGCCTGAGCCCAAATCTACGCAAGGCCACTACAAGTCTTTTTATTCTTTCGTTGGCGGTTTCTGACCTAGTGACGGCGATTTTAGCGATTCCATTCGATGTGTATGTCATTTTGGCAAACGGACTGTGGTTCCATGGCGAAGCTGCGTGTACCATTTGGACCACAGCATACCTTCTTACAATTCCTACTTCTAATCTAACCCTGTTGGTTTTGAGCATCGACCGCTATATGATATTGAGCGAGCCTCTAAATCAGTTTCGCGGCAGACAGGCTATGACTAGACGCCGTATACTCTGTTACATAGGGGCCCTGTGGCTCTACACGTTGGTGTGTGCCCTGCTGCCTCACACGGGGTGGAAGATGTGGCAACTTAGACCAAAAAACGTCATCGGCGGCATATGCATCTTCAACGGTTCACGTCTTTACAACATCTTGGTTTCCGTATTGCACTTCATCGTTCCTGCTTTGTCCATGTGTGTGATTTATCTGATGATTTATAACCAAATCCGTCGGCATTCCCGGGCTGTACGACCTATAGATTCACCAGTGAGCCAGGGTACACAAGCAAGCCTGCTGCTGCAGCGGAACATCAGAGCAGCCAAACGGATTGCGGTGATCGTCAGCGTGTTTCTGCTGTGTTGGGTGCCGTTCAGCATCCTCAGCGTCATCGGCAATCTGTGCAATAAGTGTTTGATTAAGATACCCGACGAAGTATTCTATGTCACTCTCATGACGGGATACCTTAACACTGCCCTCAATCCAATTCTTTACTCCTTTAACAACAGAAACTTTATGGATTCTTATAAAAGGTTGTATCGTGCAATTAGGAGGGCATGTGGAAGGATTGGTAGTCTGAAGTGAGATGTGGCTTTCTCGTTTTAGAGTGTCGTTTCTCCAGTTTTCTCTACATTGTAGAACAATACTTCCACGCTATTACAGAGATTTCTTATTTGAAATAATCGCGTGTTAGATGTACATATTCGGCAGAGTCTCTGGTTGGCGATGAAGCATATATCCCTACAGAATAACATCGGTTAAATATTGGCTTTCGAAAGCCTTGAAAGACAAACGTACATGCTAAAACAAACAAACAAAACTTGGGTATTTTCTCATTTTGAATGAAGAAAATGAGATTGACCTTACTCGAGCGTGTTTTCTGTAAATTCAAACGAAAAAATTCAAAAACCAACATCACTCTTCTTACAATGTATATACTAGACTGATATCTGCCTCTAAAGTAATGCAGAAATTAGACCTCGTTACTTTTTTCCGGAAGCGATATATTTTTGCTTGGTCGAAACAACGGAAATTTAAACCTTAAGCATTAATTTTGCAGACAATAACTGCAAGACAAATTGACTATGGCCGTTTCAATGCTTTCTATTTTCTCTGATGTTATTGTGTCCTAAAAAATAGATCAAGTTTATTCACTAAATAAACTGAAAGACAGGAACGTTTTTGTTTCGGCGATGAAGTGGCAAAAAAAATCCTTGCAAGTGGTCACCCTCGTGGAAAAAGTTGTGGAACTTAGCACTCTTGTATATCATTTACATTTTACCATGCCCACACTTTGTGTCATACCTGTATCAAGTTTCGTTATTACTTTTAATTTTGTCTCTCAAAGAATCAATACAATCGTGTCCTAGTAGATCACTGAACACTGATGTAAAATGCAAATGTAAAGTGACTAGAAATCTTTGCATATCCTGAAAAATCATTGTCATGTCACCCCAGGCATTGTTTATCTATAAATATTACTTCATCTAAATAAATAGCCATTTTTGTTTCTCACCGCTATATTGTTAAATACTGTAAACAATATATTTTTATGACATTCCACAAAAAAATTGTGACCACACATTTGCAAATTGCTAACTAACGTTGTAAGTTAGTCAAGCTTGAAAACTGATTTAAGGCCCTGTCCACACTAAGCCGGAGAAATTCGAAAAACCAGTTTTATTATTATTTCTACGGTTTGGACTACCGTCCACACTAATCCGTCACGAAAACGGAGCTTTTCGGAAACGCTTTTCAAACCGCTAGCTTTTCGTTTTCGTGTGGACGGAAAAGATTTTAAAATCGGAGCTTTGCGAAAACGATGACCGTCACGATAATCATGTGATTTCCCTACCCGAGTTTCACTCGAACACAAATCCAAAATGACCGGTTAATGTTGCGTTTTCAAATTCCTCCGGCGTAGTGTGGACGGAAAACATTTGATGCGTTTTCAGGGTGAAACCTTCGTTTTCAAATTCCTCCGGCCTAGTGTGGACGCTGCCTTAGTTTAATGGCCATCCATGTTTTCCAAATTAATGAGTTCCAATCTTTTGATTTGTTCAATAACGTTACACAAAATCAATCATTATTACTCATGTTGATAAAGCTTTGAATTTGTCGAAATCTTGCTAAAAATATATAATCGTGGCCGATTCTTTGAATACCTCAATGGATGAGTGATTGCAGTGGACTGGATTAGACCCTTCTCACACCACGCCGAAGGAATTTGAAAACGTAGCTTTATTTCTACGGTTAGGCTTACCGTCCACACTAATCCGTCACGAAAACGAAACTTTTCGAAAACGCTGTTCAAACCGGAGGAATTTGAAAACGCCGGCTTTTCGTTTTAGTGTGAACGGAGAACATTTTGAAAACGGAGCTTTTCGCAAACGATGACATCACGATATCTATTGAATGTAATTTCCATGTCCGAGTTTTCCTCAAACACAAATCCAAAATGACCGCTTATTGTTGCGTTTTCAAATTTCTTCGGCGTAGTATGGACCGAAACCATTTGATGCGTTTTCATGATCAGAGTGAAACCGTTTTCAAATTCCTCCGGCGTCGTGTGAAATTAGAATTGCTGTTGTTCCGTCATACTACGGAAAAGAAAACAAATAGGTTCGTTGGCGATATTGCGCTAGCAAAAATGCTTACGTACTGACTGTAATAATTACAAAATACTTGGATCTTAAACTAGTAGTAAAACAATAGTTTGGTTTAGCCGTTTGGAGTTCTAACAGTCCTTAGCGAGTCGTGCCATTCCTTTTCCAAAACTAAACACCATTTGCCAAACGCATATTATAGAGATTCCATAGATGTTACTTGATCCATTATTTTTAGGTCTAGTTTGCGGCGAGCTGGTCAAACTGTGGATCATTAAATAATTTTAAAATTAGTTGGTTGGTCAGTTCTATTAAAAGAACACTGAAATCTTCTCATTGTTCCAGGTTAACCGGTGATTTAAAACTTGCGATCAAAGCAATAGTGTTCCTCTTGGCATGAGGTTTAGAAACGATAAAGATCGGCGTAATACGATAAATCCTGATAATTTAGTTAGAAAAAGATCGTGACCTTCAACAAATGTAGTCGCTATCTAAAACTGTTTACTTTTCAGAATATTAACTGCATTGTTGTGAGTGGGATTTTTAAAATTAAAAGCTTTTCTGGTTGAGTGGTCAGCGCGGAATTAGTTAGCATTTGACAATTTGAAAAGGCGAGTAAGGAAAGAAACAAATGTGTTATTGCACGTCGGTCGATATAGGTTATTGACAATGGCGGTCGCCTTTTTCGATTAACGATAATGCATAACTTCGATATTGTTCGTTTCCCGTAAATAATTCAGATATTAGAGATTTTTAGACTGTAAACTCCTTGGGGTGAATTGAAAACCGATACAAAAAAATTTCGTGGTGACTATTGATTTCATATTATGCTTCCAAATCAGTGTGATAAGGCCATGAGCAAAGTCCATACCATTAGAGAAGTGATACAATATCATTTCCCAGTTAGTAATACGATATCACTCCCAGATATCGACTGTCCTGACCAATCAAATATTTCTTAATAAATTGCCTAGACCAATCGGATTGCACATTTTATTATAATAGACGCCAATTTTGACAAGCAATCGTTTTACCAGTTTTTGGCTTCGGTGAGATATCTTTGAATTACTGAAGATGACATTGTACGTTTTATTGAACAAACCAAAATCAAATCCGAGCCAACTTGGTCAAACAAAATGACATTCCATCACGTTAATTGCATATCATTAATTGTTATTTTCATGTCAAGTTAACGTTATTGTATTACTATTCTAGTATTTACTGCTGACCCGAATCCCCTCTATTTATTTGAGTTGTTTTCTTTCCTACCTATTAAAGAGTTCGAAATAGCCCGGTTCAACTTGATATACGTTGCTTTTCCTTCATGGAGCAATTGAGCTATTCCCGCAGAGTTTAAATCCAATAATACTTCGCCTAATTAAGGCTAGCACGATTCAAAAAATCTTCTCCACCAGGTCATTTTGTCCTTGTTGCAATTAAGTCACGCTCGAATAGTAGTCGCGCGAATTTAAATCTAATTGTTTTAGTATAAAGCTACTAGTTCAAAACTTAAACAACAAATCCTTCTCACAGACGCTTCGAAAATGCAAAGACCCGGCCGCCATTTTGTTAACAAGCACACACTGCTACGCTGCTCACTATGTACAACAGAATAAATAGTGAGTAGCGTAGCCAAGAAGAGGACGGCATAGAGCGGTAGTAGATTTCTACTAATTGCCATTCTTGTTTCCAGTAAGCGTTACCTCGCGCGCTTGCACCAACAGAAATCCCGTTAGTGGGGAAAAGGGTATTTTCCAAATCGTTGGGTTTTCATGCCTTGTATGCCTCGTCCTGTTCTTTTTATTAGTTTACTTTAATTTTATATCTCAGGTTTCTAAGTTAGCATCTATGGGAAATCGTCCCGTCTGCAACACAAACGTTCAAGAACTCCTGGTACAAGAACTCCTGGACTATGAAACACATCTTTGCCATTAGTTCCAGGGGAACATTCGATAATCGAGGTACAAAAATATTTCAGACCTCTTTCTCCGCATCCCACAACTTCAGACTCTAGAATAGACTTCCGTTGCAGCACAGCAGTCACAGAATTTCGGGGCCTACTTAGTCCCCAGTTCCACACTCTAGAATTCTCTTTTAGTATAAATATATGCAAACGAGAGTCTGCCTATTAAAATGAAGCCTGCGTCGGTTTGGCTGAAATACTCCGTCTAAATTTTAATACCTCTTGGAAATACGCTCTAAAATAATACCCTTTGTAATTAGAAAGTAAAATAGGTCGAAAGACAAAATATCACTTGAAGGATGAACAAATATTCTAATTTTTAATACCTCTTGGAAATATGCTCGTAAAGAATACCCATCGTAAATGGATAGTAAAATAGGTCGAAAGACAAAATATCACTTGAAAGATGGACAAATTCATTAAAACAGTGTTTTGAGCAGCCTTTTTTGCTTCTGGAATATGTTAAACATCGCGGAAGAATCGGAACGATTGACAAGCATATGGCTAGACTGGTTCCGTGATTTGCAGGGGGTAAGTTTAATTCCAAATCACTCCTCCACACTACCCCAAACATCACAGGGAGAAAAGACATAACAGCTCTATTTTACTCAAAGATAAGTTCCCTGGTTTATCTTGGGGCATATTTATCCCACTTACCCTTGTTGTATTATATTACATTTAAATTAGGACAAGAAAGTGATACGAAAAGAGAAAAAGAAAAAAAAAAAAACTCAGGAAAAAGGTGGGACTGTAACCCGCGGCTTTCGTAAAGCCAGTTAGTTTCTCTAACCCCTGTGGACAATAGTCAATTGCATGTCTATGTAACATAACGACTGCATTGCGAAAGCCACATTATGTTAATGTACACACACATTTAACTTCATCACGCACTACGTGACTGCGTGATAATGGAGTAGCCGAACCATAGGGTTAGGGTTAGGGTTAAGTAGTGATAATGAAATGATACGTGTGGGCAGAAGAACGCAGGAAAAAATTAGGGCTGGAGAGGTAAAATGTTGGTTCGTTTTTTTTCCAAGGTGCATTTTTCAGGTGCATTGATCATGCTTCTAAGTGGTACGTTTCTCATTCAAAACGAACATCGGCCTTTGTCGCTTTTCTCTGTCGGTGGTACACTACAAATAATCGAAAGATTGTTGTAACCGCAGGTAAGTCGTGTTCCTGTTACACTGCAGTGAAAGTTGTTGTTCTTCGGAACGTGCCGCAATAGCGTGCCAAGATCATGACTGTTTTTAACGAGTTTCCGCACTCATCCTATTCCGCGCAAGCTCACTGAAAGCTAGGGCCAGAAAAATGAAAAGTTAGCGTGACCGGAGTGACCAGTTTTCTTCCAAGATGCGATTTTTCAGGGGTATTGCCAGGGGCTTCCAAGTAGTACGTTTCTCATTCAAAGCGAATATCAACTAAATTCTGTCGTTTCTCTTCCAGGGTATGGTATATTTAACAATATACCTGATGGGTAAGCCATTCCAACTGTTTAATTGCATTAACCATTGATCCAGTTTTTAATAATGCAAAGGATCCAACGATCGCTCGTGTTACCGCGATGAATAGCTAGCGTTTCTCTTTAATACGCTGTAGTATAAATTGTTTTGAGTTGCATTTATTGAATTAAACAAGACAAAAATTACAGCAAAGCTGACGTTGAGGTGTACATAAAACAAGTATTCCTAACTAACTGCAATTAAAATAGAGCTATTACAATTAAAATTACAATTTACAGAAATAGTATGTATATTTATTAAAACGTGGATCATTGGATGATGCAATTCAAGAGTTTTCATTGGATAAGCCATCATGGTATATGAGCTACAAATATGGTAAACGTGCACGTAATTTTTTGGGGGCATTTTTCTTTTTATTTTAGTTTTGTTTTCTATATTTTGGGGGCGTTTTTAGTAAAACCATCTTTCCACTGGCGTTTAGTGGGTATCTACCAACTCATATCCAACGCGCGGTCGTGGAATAATTGTTAAATACATATATGAGCATCATATTCCATTTTTAAAACAGTTTGTGTTGGAAATCGATGAATAAATTGACCTACGAACGGAGTTGGTGTTGGGCTTAGTCACGGACAACGTCATTTTCATTCCTATTTTGTTAGTGTATGTATGTGGTAAATAGGTGGGTAATAGGTACCGGAGAGATGCCATTAAAACCTTTATGAGCTAATAGTAACAGCTTGTGCTTATACAATGCTCTTATTAGGAACGTGCCACAATAGTGTGCCAGGATCATGACTGCTTTTGACAGCTGTGATTGTAAATGCTGATTCTATCGAGTGAGTGGTGAATAGTGTTCCTTTTACGCTACAGTGTAAGTTGTTCTTATTCGGAACGTGTCAAGATATCGTGCCAAGATTCGTGACTGCTTTTGACGGCTGCTTTTGTAAAAGCTGACTCTTTCGAGTTCCTGTACTCACCTTGTTTCGCGCAAGCTCAATGAAGACATTGAAATTGTTATAAATACCACAGAACAGTTTTGTGTTCTCACAGATTTTGTCGGTTGTTAACAGCGTTCACCATGAAATCTTCATTTGTGTTTGCGGTCGTGTTGGGAATCATAATCGCTCAGTCACATGTAGGTTAGTTCACTAATTAATTCTGGTCTGTGTTCTCAAACCTTTCAAAATTTTGCACCAGAAGGCAAATTTTGCTTCAACTTCTGTAAAATAGTGATGTAGTGTTAAGCCGAAAGCCTGTTCACGTAACGTAGAGGTATGAATCTAAACAAAAAACAAAAACCAAATCTTTGTTACTAAAGATTCTATAAATAGCATAATGTCTTTGGGACTTTATTATAGAAACGTATAGCCTTTGGAAGTCTTTTCTTTTGCATAAGTATGTGGAAAATCCTCTTAATTCCTGCATCTGTCGATATTTTGGATTTTGTGAGACAAACCGGAAAAAATTCAGGGGTTTAATGTTGATGTTCATAGTTTTTTCACGGTTGCACGATACAGCAAAACATCTCATAATCAAGCGAGAAATCTATTAGAAGCCAAGCAAAATACAAGTTATGAACTGATTTGGTACTGTTATGGGACTTCCAGGCGAAAGTGGCAGAATGCCGTGCCTTTCACAGATTTGCGCAAGCAACCCTTCCAACGAGATAAGAGGATGTGATCGTCAGGGTTGCGGAGGGTATGGAGCATCACGGTATGGTGTTGTTGGTGTAAATTAATGAGTTAGAATTAAAATAATCTGGAAGATATTTAGAAATATTTCAGAATTGAAAACTGATTAGTTTAGGAAACTTTACTTCAAAAAAAGGGCCATTTTTCAGTCCAGTGCAACAAGTATGATTATCCGAATGGTCAATGGAAAATACGCAATTAACCCTCCTTTGTAATTGTTTACGGTCATCTCCCATGTTCGAAGAGCAACGTGACCAGCCCAAACCAGCGGACTGGGATTGCCGTTGACCGATAGCGCGACACTTTGATTATTGCGTTGGTAGATTTACCGTTCAAGAGGAACGAATGAGCTAACGGGCAATTGTCCGTCTTGTTCTTTTTGTTTTGATGCACAGAAGTAAACAAGTCGGAGAGAAGACACTGCGCTATCGTCACAAAGGCATTGATATCGTGTGCGATCCCGGCTCCGACATCTACTCACCTATACCCGCTACAGTTACTCGTGTCCGCATACCCCTTGGAGGAGCAAAAAATGTAGGCCGTGTACACAACGTCGGTGTCCTCATGAAAGGACGTGGAATATGGTCAGGTATATAAACTTATCAGCAAGTTTGTTGTTACTGAATTACGATTTATCACGATAAAGCCAGCCTAGTAACCACACAGTATACCGCTGAAAATAATATCACAGCTGCAAAATCTAAGAGGAGAGGAAATGGAACTTTCAATCATAAACATCGTCTTGTGAAAAACAGGACATTATTTCTTCAAAGTTTGACTATTTTGGAAAATTTCAAGCACGACTGAACATTTTTTACATTTTTACAACTTCTGATTTCTCGGTAAGAATTAAACTAACAAGGGCTAGTTCTTAAACTAAGATATAAATCGAATTTATCGGTATTGTTGCAAAATTCTTCAAGTAGGGATTCCTATTTGAAAATGTTCCACGTGGTTTTTGATTGGCGGGATACTTTTCGTTACCCTGGTGAGTCCCCGGGCCGATGTTTGGCTTTCTTTGGGATCCTCTTTCTACTGACTTTCACGAGTGCGTCGAGGCGCACAAGAGTTTACTTGCAATTTTCAGGTAACAAGGAACTAAAAACACTGAAACTGCCAAAAACCCAAAAACTTAAAATCAGCTCTAACGCATTGAAGGAAAAAAAAAAAACACGTGTAGAAAACATATGATGTAACATTCATTTCGTTCATATCAAATTCCTGAACCATTTGCGTGTTTACAGTAATATTAATATTTTAAATGTTGCAATAAGCGAGTTTCTTATTTTAGGAAGTAGTCAATTTTTACCAGTAGTTTTTGGCGTAGAGTAGCATATTTTGGGGAGATTATTTTGTGTTTGAGAACAATTTAATATATATTTTTTTGTATTCATATATTCGACGAAGGCACCAATTTTGGGGTGTTAAAGCACGCATTCATTAGTGCCTCCCAGTCAGTTTGTACAGAAACTGGTGTGGTTTATTCTGTACCCGAGGAACCATTTGTACAAAGAAAAATTAATCCAGTTGTTTCGAAAACGAGCACCACACCAAACGTATGTCTTCCCTGGTGCATGTTATTTGTTGTTGAATCTTTCGTATGAAGTATGAAGTTTTTGTGTCTGTCTTATTTCCCAGCCTACGAAGTGACGTTGTTTTACGTGAAAGTAAAAGATGAATTGATGGGAACAGATGTCGATGAAGGCACAATTATCGGTGAAATGACTGACATGGCTACCGAGTATGGAAATGATGGGAAACGCGATATGACAAATCACGTTCACTTGCAATTGGAGCTTCGTCGTATGAATGAGAACGACCCAGATCGATACGTCGACACAACTCATTTCAGATGTTGAGGTGACGCGTGTTCATTGTCATAGAAGCGAACAGTTAGTTGTAAACAATCTATCAATTTAATTAACAAGGGTCACTTCGGATTTTTTGCCTCTGTATCAAAGTAAAGCAAATCAATTGTTTTAAAACATTACAAGAACTAGGAATTCATTTCGCAGAACGAAAGGTAATGATATTAACTTCACCCACTTCACGGGCGCACTTTGTTGGATTTTGACACACGCTTAAGTACCTGACTGAGACTGATTGCGCGGCTCCGCTAGCTATGATTTAATTAGTTTTAATCTACTTATCCACTGGTTCACTTTCTCATTCTTCATTGCTCTCACTCGTTCTTTTTCCAATATTACTCATTTCGTCAACAGCCTAGTGCTCGCTCATTTTCCATGTCGTTATCTCTACGTAGCTTCTAAATTTAAGTTAATGGCCGATTTTCATTTTCCATAGGCTTTACAGGATAAGGAACAGTGCACGCTATGGTACAAATGACCGGACCGAAACAAGGAAGGAAAATCCCGCTTCTTAAAGAACGAATAAGTAGTTTTAAAACGAATTGCCGCTGTGAATTTTGTAACTTAATGGTCAAATAGAAGTAGATTTACAAAAATAATGTAATGTTAAAAAGCACGGCAATAAAAGTAGCGTAAACGTAACCGGTCTAGAATTATTATTGTTACTTTTGAAACATATTGACAGCTTGCGTTCTCTGGTTGTTGGTGTTTTTTCTTGTCCTTAACCAGAGAGTGCTCTCTTCTCTGAACTCAGAAGTGGAGGGGGGAGGGGCAGAGGGATAAGAACCTCCCGCTTCCCCGTACCTTTATCCCTCGACTCCCGCCCTCATCCCTCTCGCTCCCGTCCCCTGTAAATAAGGAGACTCAAAACACATCATAGTTATTTAGGTGTGCAATCATTAGGCGTTTCCTTATCCTCTTTTCCTTTGTTCTCAGCCTTGCTCCTCTTACTCACGTCTTTTGACAGCTTAAGCGACAACATCTCATGACCTATGATGTAACCACCGTAAAAGGGTTTCCAGTTTTACCGGAAGTAGGTCAGTTTTTCAGCCCAAGGGCGAATTTTCATTTTTCCGTCGGCCCAGAAGTCTAAAAATAGGCTAAATGTAACGCTTAATAAATGATTCCCGAACTTCCGCTTCCTTCTCTTTCCTCTCCAGCTTCCCGCACCCTATCTCCCGGGTTCCCGCCCCCTGTCTCCCCCTGCTCAGAAAACTATCATTCCCGCACGTTCTCAGAGCTTCCTTTTCTCTTGGTCACAACGCCTTCCAGCGTTCCTGGCTTTATTACATACTCATTCTTGACAAGTAATTGAATTATATTCTTTTTATCGCACTATATTGTAAGCTATCTTAGAAGTTTTAGCGGGTTTTTCGTCATTGTACTGGGAAAACTGCTCAGGTACAGGCTGTAATAGTTACACAGTACTTGGATATTTTGTAGAGGCGCGGTGGGCAGGGCTAATGGTTTTCGCGCTGGATTCTGAATTGTGAGGTCCGGATTCTAAGGGGGGTGAGGGGGCTCATTAACGACCTTGAGTTCTTGGGTCTTTAAAGGTATGGTAAAATCTTTATTTAGACACGGTATTTCCTTCAGGATTTAACAATATTGAATTAAATTAGTCTAACTACCTAACTAATAAATCACTAATAACTACTACAATAAGAGAAATGATAAAAAAAAACCTGCTTTACCAGGAAGCCGTGTATAAAAGCAAAATGAAACTTACATAAGACTACCATCAAAACCATACTTCTTCAACTTAGATTTAAATTCATCAAGAGAGGGTGACTGACGAATATCCAAGGGTAAACTATTCCACAATACAGCTCCGCTCTAGGACAGACTTCTTTTACAATAATTAGTGCGGGGCTGTGGAATGGCACGCGAACTGTCACTATCTCTTAAGTTATATGTTAAGGTATCGGAACGGAAGACAAAGTACGAGCTAAAGCCCCGGCCAAACGATCGCAACATGTCAACGCAACATATCGCAACATTGTTGGGCGCAACATGTTGCGTGCGTTTGGCCACCGTGTTGCGAT